GTACACAGTGGGAAGGCTGAGCACCCTCGCCTCCAGTTACCAGAAGCATGACACTCTGCTTCCTAATGCACGTTATTAACTGATTGGTGTTCCTGCTGTGATGGGGATATGTTATTCTTTTATGGTTTTATAGATGATATTTTAATTTGATCATGTAGTTTATGCTTTGTCAAAGGTTTTTCTTATTCTACAAACTGTCCAGAGAGCCATGAGGCTAGTGCAACGGTATACAAAAATGTTAAATAAATTTCCTCCAGCCACTGCATCTTGGCTTGTACATATGTGCAGCTTCCATACCACGTATGTTCCACCTTCCTTTTAATTCTTTTTAACAGGGTTAATTAAGGGGTGTGAATGTGCACAGATCTTGCAGCTGACTGTGTCCCTATCTACAATTCCCGATTAGCCTTCTCCAAAGCCCATTTCTGAAGGAAGCCTGAGTATGACAACTAGTTGTCAAAACACCATTCTTTCATAACTGGGGTCACTCACACTGGATACTTGGGGAAGGGTAGAAAAGGGTGAGGATGTCAAGAACACTCAGGTCCAAACCAGAAAAGCAAAAGACCTCATTGGTAAGGGGTAATCTCCAGGAGGAGGAGATGGGAAACATGGAAATAAAATGTGCCACTTGCAGAAGGAGAGGTGGTTGGTATGGGAGAAGAGCAGCTAGTGACAGCCACCGCTCAGTGTGGCCTGTGTGAGCTCTGCAAGAGAAGCAAGGGTTTTCTGCTGCTCTTGCCAAGTGGCACGTACAGGGATGGTTGATCCCCTGGGATAGGATGACAACCTGTAGTGGGTAAAGCAAGCTCTAGAACCATCCATGGGTTGTCAGGGTGGCTTGGGGCCTGGGAAATGGCCCAGGTTTGGAAGACATGGCAGCCCACTGCAGCTGTTACCACAATGGGCTCTACTGACCTTCTGCTGTGCAAACCCAGACTCTGTATCACCCTGGCTACAGTTAATTTTGCTGGGCACCCACATTATTGGAGTGATAGAGATTTAAAGCTGAAAGAATCTCACTCAGTGAAATATCCACTGCAGCAGTGAAATATGCTACAGAATTAGCCATAAAGATTGTTCTGCACTACCAAACTGATGGCATAATCTCAAATCCACTAGCCACTGTAGGGAGACTGGTGCTAAAATGCTCCCAGCTGCAGATACATTTGGAGAGCAAGAATGGAACAGCAGCACTAAGAGGATTAAGTCCAGTCACATGCCGTTATAGCTCTTAATTAAAACCTTTGTTTTTCATAGAAGGCGGAGTCCTCTTTAGGAAAAGTGAGGAGATGCAATTTTGTCAGATGGCAAGACATTTCAGGTCTGTGCTTGCTCTTCCTGTCTACCCTCTCACTCAGCTTTGAGCAACTCTAGCCACACGCTCACTCTTCTTTAGACTTTTGCTTTCCAGATCAGTCACTAATTGGGGAACGTCCCAGTCTCACTCCTTCATTGCACAGAAGGATTTACTTGATTACAATGACACTATCATATGGTGACAAGAAGGATTATGGAGCCATTTCTGGAAACAGGAAATAAGGTTTTGTAGCTTGTTCCAGGAGCAACTCTGCAAACATGTTGCTGCTTTAGTTTCTTGACTTCATTCAGTTATCATGGCTGCCTTTAATTCTATCCCTTGGAAGCATTTGTGGAATAAATTGCAAGTCCTGGGTATTGATGCACAGCTACTAAATTATTCTGAGTTTATACTCTCAGAAATCTTTAAGAATTAAAAGGAGGATGCAATGGACAACCATCCAACGTCAGATACAAAAGTGTGAGACAAGGATTTAACTTGCTCTTCTTTTTCATTTATTTTAAATGAAATTGAGTTCCTTAAAAGCAACATTTCTCAGTTAAGGCAGTTGTAATAAGATTTCGATCCTCCTCTATGTAGATGATGCTATTCTAATTTCATATATCCATATTATTTGGACAATTTAGCCTATACTGTCAGAATGAAGAGTTTCCCACCAATGATGATAAAATTAAATAATACTATTTTAAACTCAACAGTCAAACAAGTCCATAACTGAGTATGGGATGGGATAAGCTTAGAACAAGTTTCTGTCTTTCAGTATTTCCAGATTGTTCTCCATCAATCAAGTGCATGATCTTTGAAAGTACTTTCTTGGGTGATAGAAATACAATAATACATTGTGTTCTACCTTGCAAAAGGGTGTCCATTGATTCAAGCTATCTTAGAACTTTGTATGGTCAGGATTCTCCCTCAATTACCTTACTGAACCTTTTAAGGGTTAATCTAGACTTGCTAGAATGGGCTTAAAACAAACATATATTTAAACCCTTTTCAATTCCAGTCCCACAGGAGCACAGAATCATAGAACACTGGAGTTGGAAGGAGACAGTAAAGCCATTGTGCCCAACTGCCTGCTCAGTGCAGGACTCCAAGTCAGCGTGTCGTTAACAGATGTCTGCCCAGCTGCATCTTGGAGGTGTCCAGTGTGAAACAGCCCACAAACTTCTGGAGTATTTCATTCTATTGTCACAGTGTTCTAACAGTGAGGAGGTTTTTCTTGACGTTCAACCAGAACCTGCATTCCTGTAATGTAAGCCTATTCATCATGTTGTAAGCCGCCCCGAGGTTTCGGCAAGGGGCGGCATAGAAATGTTATAATAATAATAATAATAATAATAATAATAATAATAATAATAATAATAATATGTGCCCTTGCAGTCTAGCTTGATCAAGAAGAGATCCTGACCCTCCTCCGTGTGACATTTCAAATATCTGAAAAGTGCTATCTTATCTCTCCTCAGTCTTCTCTTTCCAAGGCTAAACAAGCCCAATTCTTTCCCCCTTACTGGGCTTTGTTCCCAGCCCCTGGATCATCCTAGTTGCCCCCCTACCCTGAACCCTTTCCCTCCCTGAAAGAACTCTGCATCTTTCTTAAACTATGGTACCTAAAGTAAAGTACTCAAGATGGGGCTTAACCACAGGTGAGTAGAGAGGAACTAGTACTTAACATGATCTGGAAGTGATACTACTACTAACACAGCCTAAAATAGCATTTGCCCTTTTTGCAGCCACTTCAGAGCAGTGACTCATATTCAGCTTGTGAATTACAAAGATCCTTCTTACCGATAATATTGTTGAACCAAGTATCCCCCTTCTTGTAACTGCACAGTTAGTTTCATTTTCCTAGTTATAGAACTTGGCATTTGTCCCTGTTAAATTTCATTCTGTTGTTTCCAGCCTAGCACTCCAAACTACCAGGATAACTTTAAATTTTGTATCTGTGTTCAAGGGTATCAGCTATCCTATCCAGTTTGTGCCATCTACAAATCTAATAAGTATTCCCTGCACCTCCTCATCTAAATCATTCATAAAAATTTTGAAAAGCAGTGGGCCCAGGACTGAACTTTGGAGTATACCACTTGTGACCTCTCCCCAGTTTGAGAAGGTGCCTTTGATGAGCATTCTTTGAGTCTGATTCTGTAGCCAACTGTGGACCCACCTGATAATCATTCCATCTAGCTCACTTTTAGCTAGTCAAGCTTTGCTGAAGTCAAGATAGATTATGCCCATAGCAATCCCACAGTCCACCAGAGAGGTTACCCGATCAAAAACTGAAATCAGATTAGTCTGGCAGGATTTGGAAAATTCATGTCGGCTTATAGTAATCATGGCATTGCTTCCAAAGTGAATGCAGACTAACTACAGTACTTTATAATCTGCCCCAGATTTTTTTCCCATCTCTCTCTCTCTCTCTCTCTCTCTCTCTCTCTCTCTCTCTCT